CTTCCACACGAGGGTCAATGACCAGCCGTGGATGGGCGCGTATCAGAGCGGCCTTACGGGCAGCTTCAAGCTGCCGCCTCTGTGCCCCGTCGAGGTCATCGGGATTACACCACGTTCCTCAGGTGACGAGAAGTCAGGAAACGAACATGGGGTCCGCAAGGCGCGAGAAGGGCTCGTATCACGCCGCTGGCGCAGCTCGCCTCACTCGTCATTCCATGCGGGAAAAGGAGTGTCAGACTCGTAGTCGACCACCTCCACTTCCCCGACGAGGTCACTCGGCACTGATAGCGTGCGCGGAGCACGACGCTCGGGCTCATCAAGCCTAGATTTTATATCCCTCGATGCCGCGGACGCACTGTCAGACATTGCACCACGTGCGGGAGAAGAAGTTAGGCTTTGCTCGTGTTCGCTGTCGGAACGAGCCAGACTTGGTGACTTCAGTGTCGTTGACATAGGGCTCATTTAGCACGAAAGTCGTTTTGTTCCAACGAATCAAGTTGCAGTGTCTAGCGGACTCGCAAGCCTCGTTGATGCAATAATCGATTGGAACTTTAAATGTTCTCAATCTTAAAGGGGGAGAGTGTTACGGGGTTACACGTACCCTGGTAACAGAGGTGTGTGTCACACGAGATGGGTATGGTGTGCAACGTCACCATTCTGGCATGCGACATCTCATGACCGGGGCCCAACGAGAGATCCTCTGCTATCACATTATGCCGACCTGGCCTAAACCATATTGTTGAACAATTTATATGACCATCTTGCAATTTTCTGTTATATGTGCAGCAACGATGTCCTTGTCCGCAACGAACCACGATCTGTATAGACTTCAATAGATTTGGGACCAAGTACGTGTACCCTTAACCTGACAAGTAAACCTTTTATAGCGAAACCTACTCTGTCATAGATGAAAAAGTAAATTCCTGTCGCTTTAAGCTGGAAAGACTCAAATGTGATCGCGCGATCTTATCCAATGCCATCTGCTCTGCGTAGAGTACAGCTTATGGTACAGGCCAGAAAGCCACAGACGGTAAAAAATGACCGATGCATTTTATGAGGGGTTAAGATTACGTTACTATCACGCTTCTGTGTTCGCCGCTGACAAAAAACAGCTTCTATCCCTCCAGCATCAGTTGACATCCCTTTAAAAACGATTGAGGACAGGGTTGCGCCATCGTAGAATAACTTGCGCTATACTATGGAAATAGTTGGCCAGGTCGATTCACTTTTTAGCCCTTCGTCAGAGACATAAGCAAATCAACGATGGTCCTATTCTATGCTGATTTGGTCCGATGACTGTACTTATCAATGCAGCATGCCAGAATGGCGCATTGGCGCTTAGACGCACTTGATCATATTAGCGAATGGCTGATAAAGCGCATACACTTGAGCACTGCTCGTAATTTTTAATTGGATGTGCATATCCAATTTTCTGTGATGTATAGTCTACATACGAGCATATCGTCAAAATAGATATAAGTAAAGGCACGATGCTGCCGAAAGAGCTGAGCCACCAGCTGATTGAACACCGCCGGAGCGTTAGGCAGTTCCTATTGTATAATCAATCATTTCGAGCACGCCCCTTTGAAGGACTCACTGCAATGAGATGTCGCTCATGAGCACTTGATAGTAACCATTAATTTGGTCAAGCAACAAGGTACAATCGACCATGTAGTTTTGCAGCAAATCGGTGTATGCGCCATAATAGTGGTTATATTATTTTATTACAAGCGTTAATAATTCGTCGCTTACCGCCAGCCTTCACAAACGGAAATCTCGCGTCGAATTAATGAAAATGCCTTGTCTCACCGAACATTGTTCCTGCTTCAAAACGATAGAATTCGTCACTGTTTCGAGGCGAGGGTTATTGTTGGAAATGATATCAACACCATAACGTAATTCACGTCCCAAGGGCAACATTCGTTATGGTTTTTTGTTTGTCACCATGTCCTGAATTTTCCTCAACAAAGAATAATTGGTCGTTGAAAGCCGACCGACCTCTCGCACTGTGTGCTTTGCGAATGTCATCAATGACAGACTCACTCATGACAGATCATAAGCTCAGCCTCTCCTCCGATACAAACTTTGTTAATTTATTTTTTCTCCATCTGTATATCTTTTGGTAATAATGAAGGGGGCTTTTACAATTTAAAATTGCCCCAGTCATTTCATTCAGAGAAAATAACTTTTCCCGTCACAGATTCGTGAATCTTCACTGCTCGCACGCTGAGCGCGTCGAGTTTTCCTTTAAAAATAGTCTCAAGGCCTGGTAGCTATATTTTCTCCCTGCAGTAAGTGTTAGCCATTGTAGGTCACATGTACTACCGCTTCTTGTAGGGAACTACTTGCAACGTACAGTCGCCCAACTAGACCGATCCTGGCACAGGAGACCGCGACAACCAGCTGCTCGTTCTTAATTTTCCTGCCATCTCCATCACATGAGGCTCCAGCTTACTGCAGCCAGTAAGCGTCTTAGCAGTTATACGCTCTGAGGCCACGAGTTACAAAAGCTCATTCTTGTCTCAGCAAAGATACAATCTAAAGACCGCAATATACGATTGCTTTTTCATCTCATCTTGCGATTTGAGCCCACTGTCATTTTTCTGCCTTGCAAGCTTTGCTCAAGGTACTCGGCAACATCGTTGCTCGTCAACTCGGACAATATCACATATTGCACCAAAACTATCGTATTGTGTGCCGATAGCGGAAGCCGATTGTGTTTCCTCCGGTTTGTGGCTAAAGCGATTTGACAGGTATCTCACCAATATATTCAAATCAAGTGAGCGGCCACCTGCTTTCGAATCCCATGGGGGCCCACCATAGACAAAATCTTGTTAAACTGTTCTATGTTTACCGGGGATAGGTACTCGAACATTTTGAAAATGTTTCATTCTCGCTGACCACACATTCCTTCTTCAAATCGATCGTAGGATTGACTACTAGTTGCAACAAAGTTGCCGTGCACTTTGCACACATAAAACGTTGACTGTCAGAGTCCTCGTTAACAAACGCGTATACGTTGAGTTTGTACGCTCCTCCCAGAATTGGACCGACGGCCTCCAATGAAATTTGTCTTTTCGAATCTATTTTGCGAATACGTGTATTTGAAACTAGTGATACTAATATGTATCATTCTATTCTTCATAAGTAAACTGTCTTTAATGTTTGACGCGCGGTTAGCAAGCCAGTGAGTGTATTGAAGACATCTCTTTTACGTAGCCCAATCAGATTCAAAGATACCGATACTTTAGCGCTGATAATTATTCACAGACATATAAAAGTGCAGTGTGTATTTCTGCAGAACTGTAAATGATTTATTCAATAAAATTATGCCAGAAGTAAAAGGTCTAACTAAGCATACAACATCACCCGCTCAATTGTGTACCTATTTGCTTTTATTCTGTCATAAGAGTAAATTCTATTCAGAGCAAATTCTAATTTGAGCTAGCACTAAATATATATGTTTCATAATGTTCAATAGTAAGTGAGGCTAATAGCCACGAATTTTGTAGTATCATTTTCATCATTCCCACTTTTGTGAAAAATATTTAGCTTTGCATGACTGCAACTAAAATTTGTTAACGTAGGGACAGAGGAACGAAGGAGCGAAGGCTTATAAATGTGCGTCTTGCTTAATCCTATAAAAGTTAAACGTGTACATTCCCCGATACACTGGTTGCCTCTCCAAAGGTTATCGGCCGCGAGAACCGCACCTTTATTAAAGGGTTGGTGGATTATGACGGTGCAGGAAAAGTGGGATTCGAACCCACAATGATGTTTTTGGAGACTACAATTTTGCCAGTTAGACTATTTTCATAACATTTCTACAGTTAGCTAGAGTACTTTTGGTGTGGATGAGGCTCGTAGAAGCAGCGATGTAAGGTGTGAGTAACTCTGAGTATCGTTTATGATTTTCTTTTGCTGAGCGAGTGAATTATCTTGTGGTCCACATCTTGGCGGGTGACATTGTGGTGTTCGTACACATTACACGATTGCACAAAAGTTCACGCATTCAGTACACATGGTTTTATTCTCGACTCTTCGTGCTAGAGAAATATTCTTTATTTGAATAGAAGAATAAGCCAAGTTTTGGTCCTCCAAAGGATCTTGGTTCCGCTGTGTACGAACTTAAAATCTGTGCACTGTTATCGTGGACTCTGTGAGCCGTTGCAACGTTTCTCCTAGAAAAGAGGTCTTTGGGACACTTGGATTGCAAGTCTCACGTAATGGGTTTAATTTATCTAAATTGTAAGACTATATTGTCTTTGCTCAGAACGTGGACTGTCGCTGCATAAAGTAATCAAAATTTCATTTGCTATAAATACAAATTACCATAAGGTTCGAAAAATTTATTGTGTCTCGGCTCTCGTTTGTGCCTACCAAACTTTCTATTGTAAAGCGCATAGACCATGCAGCGCACCCACCTTTCATTACATTAAAAAATTTAAATAAATGATAAGTCATTCATAATTTATGATCCAGCGGTAAATTGCCGCGATTGTGTACTTACTGTCCTTGTAATCGCTGATATTTACAGAGAAGACATTCTTGTGGCCTTGAAGTGGCATGGATGCAGGCAATTGAACTATCTCGCACATAGACTATGTGTCTGGATAAAGGAATCTTAAGTCTCGACTCAGAAAATGCTGTCCCATCTACATTGCAAAACAATACTCTATCCGGTCTGTGTGTAATGCCACTCTCTTTTCCCAGGCACAGAAATTTACGCCTGTTATTGCTGAGATTCTTGAAACACTGGATGTCATTTGTGGTTGTGTTTGATTGGCTATCTAAGAAGAACTAAAGTTTGGCTAGCATATGTGACCTGAATCTGAATTGTACCATCGCAAATTAGATGGATAGATATTTTCTGTGGATGTCATGGATGTTATAATCCTACGTGCCTTTCTTACTGAGTATTGAATTTATATTTACGAGACAAAAACAAGGTTGAAAACTTCTTTTGGATACCTGAACACCTGTTTACAAAAATAAGTTGTCAAAATCTTGATTGAGTTGAACATATAAAACTGTGATACAGACTTACGATGGATACCTTACATTTCTATTGTCATGATTCCATCATTATGTCCTTAGACGATAATCTTCGTCAATAAACTTATTTACAGTCTCCTGTTGTGGTTAGAGACATAGAGCTCCAAAATATTTCCCTCAGGTAGCAAAATTTTGTAAGGCACCCTGTCTCCCAAACAACGAATACATATCGAAGAGGATACACAAAGCGATAAAAAAGGTTACGTCTACAATGTCCACAAATCTTAGTACGTTGCCACGATGGTCTTTGGAGGGTACATGTACCACAAAACCGCATAAAACGTTCACATGCTATTTGGCAGTATTCTTTTGCTGCCCCATACAGCGACAGAAACTTCTCTGGTCAACGACCGAGATACAGACAAATAAAATCCGTTGTTCATTTCGCTATTATCGCGCACAAAAGCAGATCACATACAAAAGTAGGCTACCGTCATGGGCTTGCGGCTCTTTGGTGTGGTGTCCGTAACGCTGTTACTTCTACTTGTGCTCGCTATTGTCCGCCTGGTTGTACTGCTTGTACAGCTTTTGACGTTTCGCTATACAATAATCATTAGCACGGTGGCTTTTATATGCTGGTTTGTGGACTCGCGACGACGACGCTATGCTAGGGGCTTTTACTCATGCTCACGCATACCTCAGACGACAATGATGGGAGAAGAGCGAGAGATTGAAGATTACAAAGTTTGGCTGGATAGACAAGATGAGTTTACAACTTTTGAGTCGCCCTCCATTGCGCTAGAGGCGCCTGGGGCAGTGTCGAATCAATTTAAGAAGATGATCATGGCGCCACCGTCTGAGACCGAATCTGAGGATGATGAAAGTGAGAGTGGTAGAGTTGTCAATGTCAACGAAATGCCCGTCAGCGCTCCCTCTTTACGCCCCAGAAGTTTTCTGGACGTGCGATCGCGCAGCAGCAACACCGAATGTGATCTTCAATTGCGAGATGCCACGCGGCCGCGCTCGTCTTCGGCTGCAGGTAATAGTAAATTTATGGCAAGAAAAATAGACGCGAACAGCATCAATCACGTAGCAGAAGGGAGGGAGCGCAGGGTACCAAGACGACGGGCAGACACCGGAACGGTAAGCAACGCTAATCAAAGTGTGCGCTCTCGGCGCGCAACATTTGTTAACAAGCCGGATGCGCATGCTTTGAGAAATTCTTCATCTGCGAAGCATGAAGATACCCCGAACTCGGACGGATATTGGATCGGGGACTTTCGTGTACAGCGAATTGTGCCGCGCCGTAGTCATGCCATCAATTCTAAGACGAACAAGGTGCTTGAGAGACTTTAAATTATTTTTTAGGCTACAAGCAACTATCGTTGCTTAAATGATACTTTCACCACGAGATTAAAAACATTGTAAATTAGGGCTTTAAATATTCAAATCAAGGTATCCGTGGCTCGCTACTACAAGCCTCTGCTTCCATCGCTTCCATAAAAGCTTGCTGTCGTTGCCATGCTGTCACAGACCGCGGCTGCAATACCACTTTTTTTGCTGAAGGTTTAAGCATGAGAGCAGGGCTCGATGTACTCTGACCGCGTTCCTTACTAGACTCAAGATTTCTCGAGCTGATCTGTAAGGTACCATTCATAATCTTGCCGCTCTCAGCATCCTCGCACTCGGTTTTTCCCTCTTCTTGAATTGAAAAAGCAATGGGCGAGAGGTCAAGAGACAGTCGCAGTCTTGAACTTTGCTTATACAAAGTTTTTCGAGATGAAAGCACGTGTGGTGATGAATCCATTAAACCAAAATGTGATGTGACTGGTGTTGAGCATTGCTGTTGAGTGGCGTTCACCATTCTGATAGGCGACGCCGACCACTTCGGTGGTTTCATGTCAGGTGACTGCCACTCAATGTTAACTTTTTTGGCAACGTTGAGTCTGTTGGATTTGATCTGTCGTGGCAAAGCTGAGTGAGATGGCGTTGTAATAGGCTGATGTGCCGATCGCCGTCGCGAAGACCGTTTCAGTCTTCGTAAAGAAAAAGTAACCTGCCCCTCTCTTGGTGTTTGCCATGGCGCAATAGTCTCATTGCAGCGTTGAGAGAGCTCCATTGGCGGTAAAGGTGTCAGCACGAGTGTCCTCTTTTCTGTAGCTGAACGTGTGAATTCTCGTGGTGATCGAGCAGGTGTCAGCAGAACATTAAACTGCGTTTCATCTTCAAAAAATTTACTAGTCCAATAAGGCGAGCCGGTAGTAAAAGTGGCATTTCTTTGCTGTAATAGAGGCGAGAACGCCACGGGCTTCAGCTCTGCAAGCGTATCAATGCTCCAATTTAGCGGTGAACCTACGTCTTTTTGGTTGGCCTCTTTCGGCGACGACTCGGTAGCCAACGCCGCCTCAAATGAAGGGAAGAGTTCTCTGGTACTAGATCTTGCATCGAACGGGTTGTTGAACTCAGCATAGACTTCGTCACCGGTAAGAATTCCCGTCTTGTTACTACAACTTGGCTTTGAGTGCATTTTTTTTCATTATCATTAAATGACACATTTGAAAATTTGAGTTTCTATGGGCCGCCTCGATAAATAAAATGAGAAAAATATCGATGCATTTCTATACCGAAAGTGTGAAACGTCGCTTCGATCTAATAGGTCTAGACAGTTAGTTATCTTCATTTGAGCTACCCAGATACGTAGATTTGTACAATGACGACGCGTTTCATTGTGGTACAACTTTTTAAATTCAATAGACTTTGTTTGCCTGTGACACAAAACTGACAAGTCAAATTCTGTGGCCCACGTTGTGCGGAGCAGCGAACAGATCAAACCTCAACACTCTCAGAGCTGACCGCTCGAAAGATACAGCAGATTTGTATGCTATTAAAGTATGCTCATTAGCTGGCGCCAATGCAGATTCTACAGAAAGAAAATCTAAAGCCTCACTAGTTGTCGACTGGCAAAAGTCAGCTCGGGTGTGAATTCATGAAAGTACCGAACAGAGCTGATTGATACCTGTAACGCCTGTCGTGCAGCAATTTCACTATCGTTATTTGGCTTCACACGGCCAGAGCCACATCTTCTTGAAGACCAAAAATAAATCCCATACTAATTGACCGCCAAGATTTTGTCGGAATCAATTGACTAACCAAGGCACGGGTACATGTAGCGAGAGATTAAGCCGATAAAATGTTTCGCGACGTGCGCACAAAAGTGCTTATCGACTAAAACATGTTGAGTCTCCACAGCTCTAACACCGAACCACTCGTCAGCTAAGTGGAATTTATGTTCTTGTTGCAGCGGGGCTGCCATAGCTAAGCGCTCGAGGAAGCGTACTTTAAGTCACCGACCTTTCGTTCTTTACCAGAACCAAGGATGTGTTAGCGGATCGCAATCTGCTTACTCCAAGAGTAGTTATTGCCTTCAACAGGCTAATTAACTCCTGGTTATATTTAAAACTGATTTTTATTTACTTTTTTGTCTTAATTTTAAAAGTTAAGATATACTAGATATATATAGTAAAATCTAAATACATGCATAACTACTGGCTACCTAGCCACA